TAAGTTATTGCATAACTACTATATTTCTTAAAAAGTTCTAAAAAGATTGTCTTTGGCCCAAATTAATGAAATAAATATTTTATATTTTGAAGGTTAAAGAAATCAATTAAGTTTTCCAGGTTATTAAGAAGGCTGAGGAAGAGCACTCATAATGCAGTTTTTTGCAGAAAATGGGATTATTGGGGTGGAGAGAGAGGGTACTTGTTATTAATAGTAAGCAGACGCTCCTTGCTGGAAAGGCTACAGAAAGCACTCCAAAACCCAACCTGAGGAAGAACCACTTTTAAGGGACAATATCCCAATTCCATTTTTTCTTCATGTTGAAGGAGGTATCCTGACAGGCTGATATCCTGAAACCTCTTTGGGAATACAGTTCCCAAGTGGAAAACACACATCCTCTTTAGGCAGTGCAGCAATATTCCCATGAATAGGCTATGCTTCAGAATTTTTCAGAAGAGCTTAGAATTTGGATAGATGAACTAAAAGAACATCTACCTCCCTTCTAATTCAGATTATCTAACATATGTCTATACCTTTCAATGAAGCAATGATTATGGTATGAAAAAAATGGAAATATGGTTTTGATTTAGATGATACCATTCTTCTGGGAGGCAGTGTGACAGAATGGACAAAAGCCCAGACCCAGATAAGCCTGAAATGAAATTTCGATTACCAAGCCCTGCCCACGCAGGAGGAGCTGTATGACTTTGGGTGAGTGCTTTAACATCTATCTGTTAAGCCTGTTAATTTATTTAGAAATGGGAACATAAGAGTACCCACTTCATAACACTGCTGTGAGAATTAATTAAATCATTAAGTACAATGCATTTAGAATAGTGCCTGGTCATAGAGTATTGGCTATTTTTAAATACATTATTCACTAAAATGTGAAAGTCTTATAAAAACCAAATTGTGACAAAACCAGACTGGTACAGGGGTTTACCTGGGGATTACTGGTACTAGAAAATAGCCATGTTAAATTAATCTCCTTAAAACTGGCATTAAAATTTCTAGATAATGAGGATTCTTTTTAAGGAATCTACTTTGGCATGAAATCTGAAGGACTATGTTGAAATATATGGGTAAAACCCCAACCAAGAGCTCT